TTATAATTAAAATTATTATTAATTAAAGGTAATAAATGCTTTTCAAGTATTTTGATATAACCTAATCTATTTAATTTATTACTTACTTTTACTAATGGATCTAATCCTTTACCTAAAAAACATCCCCATATTATTATTCCTCTATCTTCAAATTTTACTGTTGGAACCATATTTTCAATATCATATTTTGTACCAGGAGTTCTCCAAACACAACCAGGACCATCATTTTGAATATTATAAATCTACTTTTATCACTTCATATAATAGTCTTCTATTTTTAACAGTTCAATCTTTTCTTTCAATGCACTATTTTAGACAATTTTTCCTTTGTTGATCATTTAAAAGTGGTTTTTGAGCTAATATACAAGAAAAAATTTTTATTTCATGCAAACTTCTGCTAATTGTCTTGGTAGAAACTTCAATATTGATTTTTTCAATAAATTTGTTTCTAATTTGTTCTGCAGATTTCTTATTATTTTTTTTAACAATTTTTTTTAAAATGGTTTTGTCTTTAGAAGTCAATAGTTTTGGACATCCAGTTTTAGAAAGAGTAGTAAGATTGTTTCTATTAAGATAATTTTTAATTGTACGAGAAACAGTTGTTCTATAAATTTTAAGAATTTTTGAAATTTTTGATAAGGATTGTTTATTTTTATAGAGACCTATAATTTTACCACGTCAACTTTCAATTAAATGATATATTTTTGAAATTAAAAATACTGAAAGGGTAGATGTATTTATATTTAATTTAATGTTTACTTATTGAAAAAACATGAAAATTATATACATGTTTTTTTAAATATAAATAATAATATATTAAAATTTTAAATAAAATTATTATGTATATTTTTATATAATAATAAATTTAAGATATGCGATACTTTTGTCCATATAGTGTATCTAATAGTTCAATATAGTCAACAGTACTGTCATCATCTTTTATAAAATAGTTGCATCCAAATTTAAAGATTTGTGCGATTTCAAAAAATTTAAATTTTTTCAAATCTGTAAATCTAAGACAAGCCACAAATAGTAATGAGTTGAGCATCCATTTGATTTTTCTTTTGATTCTCCTGCTAATATAGCCAACGTCATTGATTTTTTTGTAGTTCTCATATGCTTTTGTTTCTAGTTCTTCATATTCTTTTTGATGGTTTCCTTTGAATAGATCATTTTTGGTAAATGATTTGAAAAAGATTCTATTTCTTAATAGGATTTTGATGAAAATTGCTAAATAAGATTCTTGCATGACTATTCCTTTGGAGATATTTTTGATTTTTTTGAAAAGATTAGCTACTGCTTTGGCTTTGCTGTGGCAGGCTAGAAGCTGTGATACTAAATCAATAATTGTATCATGTTTGCTAATGAAGAGTTTGTTGCTGCTTGTTATACATATAACATGGAGACCATCTATTGGGTGGCTACTTTCTAGGAGTATTTCTGTAATTCTATTTTCCTTATTGTTTGAAGGCAAGGTTGATTGTGATTTTTCTAGTGGATTTTTAATAAGTAAGAAGCTATGGGAGTTATCAAGATCTTCATTTAAGCTTGGATTATTGGTTAGCCAGCTGGTTTCAGCTTCATCAAGTATTTTTCTCCTTTTGATTTGATCTAGTATCAATTCATAAATGTCTGGTTGAGCAGGAGGAATATTTTCTTGCAGATTGCCTAACTCTTCTTGTACTTGACAGTCAAATTTTATGAGAAAGCTGATACTACCAATTAGATTTGTGATATCCAAAGACTCCATTAATATGTTATTATCAGAGCAGGAGCTGGTAGATCTGATTGTGCTTTCAGATTTGTTATGTTGATTGTCAGTGGTAACTGTATAGTAAAGATTGTTCACTTGCATCATGTCACCTTGATTATACATGTCATTAGTGTTTGGTGCTGTGTGGCCTATTATATTAGTTGCACTTGCCTACTTCTAGGCTACAGGGGATACATGTGCATTGCTGCTGATTTTTGCCATTTTGAAATTTCTTGTACTTTGTAGATCAATGGAAGGAGGTAAGCTGCTTGAAGTTTTTTTGGAGATTTGAGATGAAAGTTTTTTTCCTTCAAAATTTTCAGTGAAGTTTTGTTTAGTAATTATTGATTCCTCATTCTGTACTGGCATATTGGATAATGTGTGAGATGATATGTTTTGAATTTTTTCTAAACTGAATTTCTTATCACTTTTAATAATATTAAATTGATTCCATGAAGGATAAAGAGTATAATTGAAATTATTGTCTAGAACCTTTCTTGCAATGGTTTTTCTTATGTTTGGAGCAAGATTATTCTTTTTCTAATACTGAAATAAGTTGTTGAGATTGTTTTGAGTGTTGCTTTTATGATTGTTGATAATTAATAAAGCTATTGTATATGATCGAGGAAAGGTAAAGTCAATTGTTATTTGTTTGAAGCTGATAAAGGCAGTGTCTACTTGTATAAGGCTGTTGTTACTTGGGTTTTGCAGAGGAACGATTTAGAATTTGGAAAAGTTTTTTTTGCTGGTTCAGTAATTTGAATATTGCTTAAGTTGTTTTCCTTGTATACTATTGAAAAAATTGTTCATTAAGATTCATTATTATGATGTTCAAAAGGATATGAGATGGCTTAGTGGTTTGCTCTTGGAAGAGGAGCTTTCAAGAGCACTTGTTGTTTTGCTTCTAATAATTTTGCCAGTTACTAAAAAAGGAAATTTTTGAGTGATGCAAAATTTTTGGGAAAGAGTTTTTTTTTTCAATTTTATTATATATTTATTAACTTTAATATTTTTTATAAATGATTTGTTTATAATCACTTTAATTAGTAATAGTTAAATAATATAGCATTAAACCCCACCAAAATACTGGTGGAGTGGGATGTTTGATGTAATGACAAATAACTTATATTAATAAAATGTCTTACATCTAATACTGTTTACAACTTAAAAAAAAAATAAAATCAAAAAATAAATAAATAAATGATTTGTTTAATAAAAATTCTATATTTAATGCTTGTTTGCAATAAAAAAAAATATTTTATGATTTAAAGAATATATATTATCAATAAAAATCTTATATCTAATATTCTTAACGAATTAAAAAAAAATTAAAAAATTTTTAATTAAAATTTATTTTAATTTAATTTATTATTTTAAAAAAAATAAAAACTTTTTTTTTTTTTTTTTTTTTTTAAGCGCCAGTCATGGTCATGTTTTATTTAAGCATTATTCTCAGTTAACCAATAGATATAAAGAAATAAATTCAAAATATTACAGGCATTTTCGAAAAAGCAAAAATAAAAGAAAGCTAAGACTATGTCTATGGCCTGACTTGACTATTCTAAAGAAAGAAGGTGTGCGGTTGCTTCACCTTCTGCGAAAAAGAAAAATTTAATCGAAAAGGAACTCCTTTTTCCCAACATCACCTAAATCATCTTTTTGATAATTGATTTCTGCTATTGAATACCTATCAACAAATACTAGACAATCAAGTAATATAGTTTCCAAGGAGCAAAAGTTTCCATTCCATCGTGACCTTGATGTGAACTAACAAATATGGATGTTGTTTCATGTTCAGTTGGTATTATTGCAATCTCCACAAAGCTAAACCGTTGTGCTTCCCATGCGCTCGACTAGAGGTGCCGTTAGTTTCTCATACCAGGTACAGTCTGAGCATATCCTTAATGATATGATACTTGTGACAATGTGGCCAAGGCAATGTTAACCGCCTTACTACCATTCAGGGACTAGTTCATTACCAGAACCCCCAACAGTGCCTATCAGCTAAGACATTATCTGTGTAATCTTTTTAAGTTAGAAAACAGTCTTGAAGGAAGGTTGCTCTTGATGTCTTTTCCGCTAAAATTAAATGTTTGTCTAGAGTACAGGTGAAAAGAAATAAACAAAAGTGGTGTCCATTCTGAAAAAACCTGAGAATAGACTTTTGTGACTATATTTTACTTGTTGTCCAACAAGTCTTATTCCCATCACCAACTTTATCTAAACCAACTCTTTCTTTTCTGATCCAATTGCGTGTCTGTGAATGTGATTTGTCACGTGAGGATTTACGTGTCTTGTTTACATCACAACAACCAAATGGGCAATCAATCAAACAGCTTGTCCAATCACTCTAACCAGAATCCGGTGTAACCAAAAAATTCAGGGTCAGGCTAGGGTAGGCAAAATTCCTCAGAAAAACCAAAAATTTTGGCATGCTTGAAGGAACCTTAAGAAAAGCAGTAGTGACTTCAATTCAAGAGAGAGGAAAACAACTGTAACTCCTGTCGCGACTATCAGCCATAGCCCTTCTTGGAGCTTCTGCGCGTCCTATGGCTCTTCACAGCCAATTACAGGATGATGTTACTCTTCAAAAGTAGCCTTATTATATAAATGTACCTTCAGACTATCTCTTATCGAAGCATAACCAGGCTATGGGGGGAAAGGAGCTCTTGATAGGCCTGCTTGACCAAAATGATTTCTTCTAGAGGCTGGTATACCTGGGGCTGAGAGAGGGTATTTTTCCATGGTAGTTCTTCTTCCCTGTGGAGCGTTTTCTTGCCATTATTTACTTGGGTAAGACTTCCAATAAAACCACTGTAAAGGAAGTATTTTTCGAAGACCGTGTTGTATACAAGAGAAAGTGTTTTCACAGATGTCATGTTATTAGAGAGAGTATAAAAGCTTTATTACCGCCAAAAAATAAAATTTTGAGGGAACGTTTTTTTGGTGGGAAAATGGATCGAGGTGAAAAGAGTAAGTAAAAACTTTTTAATTAAATTTATTTTATTTTATTTTATTATTTTAAAAAAAGTAAAAAACTTTTTTTATATAATAAAATAGGTATTTGATAAAAATATTCAAAAGATATATCAAACATTTTTATTATTATATAATAGCTAAATATTAGCCTATCTACTTTTATGTCTAACAATATGTTAACCATTCTTAAAATAGATTATATACTGTATATTCAAAGGAATCTATCTAAAGATGAAAATTCTATTACTAATTTAAACTATTTAACCTACTGGTTCATATTATGTAGAAACAATAAATAAAAATAATATATGCTAGATTTGATAAGTAAATTATGGATTTATCTATATAAGTAACTCTAGCCTTATATAATATAACCAACTTTTGCTTATCAATTAATAGGAGTAAGTTAACCACAGTTTATAAAAAACTTTTTTTTATTAAATTTTTTATTAAATATTATTATTATTAAATAAATTTAAAGTTTTAAAAATAAAATCTTAAAATTCTCTTCTGATCATATCTGTTTTGTTAAAAATTTTTCTTTTATGGTAATTTTAAGTAAGAAAAAATATTTTACTCTTTTTATTACAAGTAAGCTCCAGCTTAAGAACTCAAAAACCTTCAAGACAACTGGTGCAATAGGATGGGACCTCTGGTCAAAGTTTATACAAGTTTGAGAGTCTTGTTTATTCTTTGGTTGCATGAGGAAAAACCTGTAGCAGTTCTCTTTTCTTCAGTTCTCTTGCATCCCTCCTTATTCTTATTTTATTATAAAAATCATTTATATTATTACCATCATACTTGCTAAACCAAATATTTTTCAAAACACACACTTAAACAGAGTTAGTGGGTCTACTGTTTGTTTTAAGTCAACCCTTATACACAATATTTTTGTAATAATATTTGCTGCACCATCTTCAACTTCCAAAAAATTCTCACTCAAAAAACCAAATCAGTTTATTTTATCCGAATGATCAGTGCTCTTCAATCATCCAATCAGATTTCGTCTAATGATCAAAGCAAAAACCAAATAAGCTTGAACTAGTTTTGCACCACAACAATGATCACAATAATAACAACAATGAACTTACTACCAATGACTATAATAACAAACAATATCATATGTACTCTATTATTTATAGTATGCAGAAGAACAGAGAGTTGGAACCACAAACCTATCAGGGGATTCTTTTATTTAAAGCATGGATATTATAGTATATTTGATTTAGTTTTAGTTATAGTCACTTTTATTTTTATTTTTAATTTTTTATATCCAAAAAATCAAAAAAATTCGCAAAATTTCCTGGGATAATAGGTATAGTCACTACTCAATCTTATCTAGCACATTAATATTGATTTTGAATTTTTTTATAATATTAGTTAGATATTGATAAGTAGGCAAGCTAGCATTTAACTTTTATGAAATAATGAAAGTTATGTTATTTCTTTCAACGATGTATACCTTGTTATATACAAATCAAAATAAAAAAATGATATTTACCTACTGGAAAAACCCCCCAAAAAATTAAAAATAGAATTTTAATATTATAATAAAATAGATAACTTAATCTTATTTTACTTATTTTTAAAGATCCTAATAATTCAATTCTATATATTGTCATATGCCAATCCAACCTCAAAGACTAGCATAGGATGGAGAACTGATAGCAGGGAGATACTTTAAATGGCAGAAGCCAGTATAATATGCTATAGTTCATAGAGAAGATACTTGAGGTTTCAAAAATTATAAGGCAAAAGGTATAACAATTATAATTATATGAAGACAAATATAATTGTGGTGATTTGTATAAAACTGTTTATTATCAAAATATTATTACATTCTTAATTTTACCATTTCCACCTTTAATTCTCCTACAAGTCTCTCTCTATTTTCTTTACAACTTTTTTACCATTTTTCTATTATTTTTCCTTTCTATATGAAATATATAATTATCCTATTTATATAAAAAGAATTAAAGAATAAAAAAAAAAAAAAACTCTTTCCCGCAAATCTCAAAATTCCTAAAAATTTCCTTTTTTGGCAATTCTCTAAAAACAC